TGAATAGACATTAGATAAGTCCATAACAGTGTTTTTTCATCAGTTTCTATCGTATATTATGTTTTGTTAGCATCCAGTAGCTCTCCAGACTGGCGTAAATGTGATATGGTTGCTATGGTGATTGCTAGCTGTCCACTCCAGGCCAATTCTATGGATGAATATTATCAACACATATCCCCACAGGTTAGTAGGCATCCTCTGCTGAAGATAACCTCCTCTACAGACATCTCTAATTCTTCTTGGGTTCCCTGTGTATCTTGACCACCTTTAAGTATTGCTACTTATCACAGGTTCCCCAGACATATAAAGTGTTAATAATCCCTTAGTCTCCACTATTTGCTCTCTAGCTACTCAGCTTTTCCTGACTGTACTAAATAACTAATCACATAGCTGCTTATTCTTCTTGTCAGTATGTTTTTGTTTTTTTCTCAATCATTCTTTTTTTCCTTTTCTCTTTTTTCTTTTTTCAGAACATTTTCTCACATAAACCTGATTAAGATTTTCCTTTTTTTCTTCGTTGTTTTCTTGTTATCTTTTACATTTTGTAATCTAAATTAGTATCTATAGTGGGCATCGCCCTGAATAACTCTTAACTAATTGTGATGCCTGCTAACTACTCAATTAATTGATTAATTAATTAATTTAATCAATTAATTAATTAATTTAATTAATTAATTCAATTTATTATTATTTATTGAATTAAACTTGTAACTTATAACTTGTAATTTGTAACTTGTAACTTGTAACTTGTTGTCCTCTAAGGGGCTTTTGCTCATGTTTAAAATTAAAAGTACGTCATAATATAAGCAAAAACTCACTCCTAATGGCTATGAATGAAAATACTAGTATTTTATGATTCAACCTAAAACCATCTCATATTTATCTCATTTTCCATACATGGAAAATCTAAAACAAAATCACATTTAATGTTGGTTGACCATGGCTTTTTTTAAAAGTCTACTCTGTATTAAAGGGACACTGTCAATAGATGACATGCGCGAGTAAACTTGAAAACATTAGGCTAGTGTTTTCAAGTTTATGACTCCAAGTTGGCGCGACATAAATCAGATCGTGAACGTAAACAGATCTAGAATATTCCAAAGTGTGTCAAAAGCACCACAAAATGATTTACCTCGAAGGTTATACTTTCAATGTCCGTTAGAGGTGAGACTGTTACTGCGCATGTCATCCATTGACAGTGTCCCTTTAACTATGGACTAACAGTATCTTGATCGAGTCACTGATGGACCGCACGAGCACACATCTGAATAGCTCTGAATCTCTGACTAATTTTGGAACACAGACAGACAGACAGACAGATTGACTGACTGTAATTTTGTTTGCAGGTTATGAGGTTATTACATTCAAAGCATGAACAGATTTCTAAACAGTTTGTTAGAGCTGCATCAAGTACTGTGAGGGCCATGTTAAAGCGTAACACTAATCTTGCTAAAACTTACTTCCTGAATGTCTTGATGGCTCCATTACTAAGAGTCACTGAATCCTCAGGTAATTTGATTCTTCCAGTCAAAAGACATGAAGCGTGGCCCCTCAAAACACCATTATTCTATTCATTATTCGATTCTTGGTCGATTCAACATTACATTATTGAAATCAAATCTGAATTCAAACTTCAAAATTTGATTGGATTATTGATCGGATTTTCATAAAGCCTTCTTCGTATTTCGCTTGTAAACATGCTGGTCTTTTGTAATTTCCACAAGTCGATGCATTACAATATGCTGTCTGTTAATTTGGTTGGATCTGTTCCTTCTCGTGAGAAAGGAATGACGGTCTCAAAAAGCTGGAAATTCTGTGTTGTTTTCTGTCATTATCAGAGTTCGAGATTTGAATTTATATTGCATAATTAACTGAAGTTTGAGAACAAAAAATAAAACGCAAAATCCAATAATGCATTGAATAACGAACTATTCGGGGCGCGCGCTTCATGTCTTTTGACTGTAAATGGCATTGTCTGAATCAAAATGGTGGAAACTAGCGGTAAACTAGTGTGAGCTGTGTCAGTGTTTCTAAAAAACAGTTGTGTAAAAAGATAAATTAATTTAATACAGTCCATAAGAAAGGAGGTGAAGCAACTTACTGACGTTTCGGACGTTGATTCTTTGTCAGAGTAAAGATATGAAACCAGCCTATAGTTTCATCTCTTTACTCGGACAAATGATTTTTAAATCCTTTGAAATCGTTTTAAAAAACKTTCGAAACGTCAGTAAGTTGATTCAGCTACTTTTTTACTGAGTTAAATTGTCTGAATAAGTTAACATAACAATGTTTCTTTTGCTGGCATAGACAGATTTTCAGAAAACAACGGAAATGTCAACTATTTCTTCTTTCTCTGTGAAAGCTGACCTTATGAGCTATTATTTTCTACCTTTAGAGGATCAGCCTGGTGAAGTCATCTGTGATGAAGACTCCCTTACAAAATGTATAGAAGACATCCATAAGGTAAGATCATATTGAAACTGGAAAATAGTTGAGTTTTGCGATCTCTTTTACGCTGTGTTAGCCTCAATTGAGTGCAAATTATTCAGATGTTTTGATAAAACTCGTGAGATTTCAAACTATTTTCATTGTCTTCCATACTCACGGACCTCTTGCATTTGCACGGGCTGTTAGTAAATAAAAGAATTTATCACATTGTTTTGAGGCTAACACAGCGTAAAAGAGATCGCTGAAGGGTTTATAGTCAAAAGACATGAAGCGCGCACCCTGAATAGTTCGTTATTCAATGCATTATTGGATTTTTCATTTTCTTTTTCTTTTTCAAACTTTAGTTGATTAATGCAAAATTAAATTCAAATCTCGAACTCTSATTATAACAGAAAACAACACAGCATTTCCAGCTTTTTGAGGCCGTCATTCCTTTCTCACGAGAAGGAACAGATCCAACCAAATTAACAGACAACATATTGCAATGCATCGACTTGTGGAAATTGCAAAAGACCAGCATGTTTACAAGCGAACGACACAATGATTTTCTCTTTGCTTAGTGTGAATTTTTTCCTAGGTTTACGTTGTTGGGTCAGATCCTCAAAGCTYTTTTCTTCTGTCTCTACATACTGTCATACATCCAATTTTTGAACTGTTTTGCTTAACAAGAAAAGGGGTTTCTCATTTAAGGTAAATATTAAATGTAATATAAATATTTATCATATAATTATCTAGATGAAATACCTATATTTCTCCATTTCATAAAGTTTATATTTTCACTAGTGAAATAACACATTCGAGGTTTCTCTATATAGTGGAAGTAAGAAAAAAGCTATTTTACGACATAATTTGCTTTCGTATACAATTATATGATAAACAGAATATGGGCACCCACAAATACGAATTTTTATCTTCTCGTGTTGGTGAAAATCGCTACGCTCACTCGTGAGAGATGTAATGTCTTCTATATTATATAATTATATCTGTGAAACACTTTAAAGAAAAAAATAATTTCCCGTTATAATTGTTTCCCATATAAACTCTAAAGAAAACTCTCTAGTAAGCGTGTAATTTAAATTCCATGGTCAACTATTATTTCAGGTCGTTTTGTCAAGAAATACTTGTTCGTTATCTAAAGCATATAGATAGTGGGTTGGCTTTAAAAACTCTTTATATTCTGGCTTATGGCGAGCACCCCCCTGACAAACTACTTGACCACCCCCATGGAGAACCGTCTGAGGCTGTTATAAAGGGGGAAGCATCGGGCTCTTCAACGAAACAGCATGAATCAGCCTCATCCAGTAATAATAATCAAAGAATAAATGAAAATACCACCAAGCCTTCTACTCCAATCAAAAACGAGCATTCTAATCCCTATGGCAACCATCTGCCAACGTTAATGAGGCAGGAATACTCATATTTTCATGGTGACAGTGGTGGCATTGTCGTCAAGCTATGCCATGATGTAACACCGTCGTTCGATGACGTCATGGAGAGGTTGACAGGTGGTGATGACGTCATGATGCATGAGGCTCGAGCGTCGTGTTTGGTGGAGTTGTTGGTTGGGATTAAGAACGATGTGTTAGCTGGGGAGTTTTTTTTACACTTGATGTCAAAGCTTACTGGAATTGTTGGTAATGGCGATGAGACATCAGTCACAGGTATTATATTGAGATTTTGATGTATCAGTCAATTGAAACACGGCTCTCCGGGCACCGGGCAATACCGGGGAAGGCCTCGACGTTTCCCGGATATTAGAGGCTAAAAAAGGCGGCTAAACAGATCGGTGGAAACTAGCAGTAAACTAGTGTGAGCTGCGTCGGTGTTTCTAAAGAAACAGTTGTGTAAAAAGATTAAGTTAACACCTTGAAAATGTAGGTGAAACAACTTAGTGACGTTTCGGACGTTAATCCTTCTTCGGCTAAACAGATTATCTTTTCACAGCATTTATATTTATAGTAATAGGCGTAGCTAATAAAAGTCGAAAAAGCCGTCCATGTTTTTTACGTTTTAACCGACTAGTTTATTTCGTTTTCCAAATTAAAATTTTATTGAGTTAATTGTATYATAAAATGTTCCTGACCAAACTAATCAATTTTAGAGGAGATAGCTGACCTTCAAGTCTACGAYAGACAAGCAGACGTCAATCAAAAGAGTCTCGTGACYCTTCAACTAGTTGCTGTCATGTGTGATAAGCTTGGACCGTCAATTCTTCAAAAYGGTTGCCATATGCTTGCTTTCATCAAATSTACACTACAGCGAGGCTGCATTTCATCTGATTCTGAGCCTCTGGAAGAAGCTTTGGCCTCAGAGACGTTAACTATGGCTTTTGGGATGTTGTCAGCTATTTTGGGTGGTGCAACAAAGGTTTGTTTTCATTTCATTGTGTTATGTGTTAACTTTTTCTTTCGATTCCTATTTCCCATTTCACCATTACGTTTCTTTCTTTCTTTCATTAATGGGTTAATGGGNTTGTATCCCATATGTTAAATGGCCATGGTCCAACGGCATCCCTTTGGAGATTGTGCCTTAGGTTTGAACTAGAGCAAACRCAGGAAAAGCATGAAATAACGTCAAAYTAAATACCAACAAATAGCGGCTATTTAGARACAATTTGCCAGCACCAATGAACCAGAACACAATRAASATGARTACACATGGGACCATTTTTCATTCATCTTTATTGTGCTCTGGTTCATTGATACTRACAATTTGTCTCTAAATAGGCGCTWTYTGTTAGTATTTAGTTTGATTTTATTTCATGYTTTTCCTGCGCTTRCTYTAATAAAAATACATCGTAAAATACGYAWAAACTTACTCTTTATTATCCCTTTATGCTAAGTATGAATGCAGATATTTTAAGATTCCCTATTAGAACAGACGAAGGGAAACGGATCATACGAATGGGTATTGAAGTCACTTTATTTTCCATTTTTTCATTTTCCATTGTTTCATTTTCCATCATTAACCGGATAATGATATGAGTGATTATTTGTCAAGACTTAGCATGATATGAAAAATTATAGGTTAAGGCTGAGTATATATGAAAAATTATAGGTTAAGGCTGAGTATGATACATGATATATTACGCCAGCTCAGGTGGCTTTTATCCGGCAAACCCGCACAAGTTTCAAAAATAATATTGGTTCCCGCCCAAATTATGCTTAGATATCATGGTTTTTGTGCAAATAGGTAATGTATGGTAGAGTACAAACACTAAAACTGTGCAACATAAA